TTCCTTGAAGTTAAGCCTTTCTTAAAGAACAGCACATTTTATTACAGATAGCTGGATGAGGAGTAGGGGAGGGGGTTATACGAAACTGATACCTAAGGCTTTTACAGCTTTCTCAGGAAATTGAAACTTAACCTAGAAAGATAGGAAGGGAAGAGGATTTACAAGGAGCTGAAACTTAAGTCTTTACTGGAGATGGAATTTTAATCTCTATTGAAACAGCGCATACAGAACAGGAAGGGGGCGCATTGGTTAGAACTAGGTTACAACAGAGAGTATATGACTTTTCTTAATCACTCTTCTTGATCTTCCCTCTGCTTCCTGGCTGTCACAGGTTTGGGAGATTTTCTCCACTGCTCCTGTGCTCTGCTTCTTTTGCTTTGGAGCCAGCATGCCTTGGACTGAATCTTCTGAAGCTGAGCTAAATTAACATCTCTTACTTTAATTTGAGATGGAAAATCTAACTCATACAAGTATTCTTTGGAAGACAAATCTAACAGCACAATTTATCTCAGTTTTCATGTATCTGGAATTGTTTTATTTTTGCCTTATTTTTGAAATATACTTTATTGGTTTAGAATTTTGTTAACTTTTTTATTTGAATGCCCCATATTTTGTCACTATTGCTAACTTCTGGCCACTGTTGTTTTTCACGAGAAGTCTATGTTATCTTTTATTAGTGTCCCTTTACAAGTGGGAAGTAACTTATCACTTGCTATGTTCAAGATTTTTCTCTACTCTTTGACTTTTTAACATTTTAACTATAAATTATCTGCATGCTAATCCATTCTTATTGTTTGAATTTCACTACGCTTGTCTTGTCTATAATATTTTTCATTAAACTTTAAACATTTCCTGCTAATAGTTTTTCAGATTTTTAAAAATCTATCCTTCTGATAATTATGTATATTGAGGAACTAAAGTGTTCCACATTTCTCTAATGTTCTATATTTTCTTCATTCTCCTTTTTCTTTATTCTTTGGCTTGCATAATCTTTATTAATTTCAAGTTTGCTAATTCTTCTGCCAGTCCAAACATATATTTGCGTCTTTGTGGAAAATTTTTTACTTTACTTATTGTAAACCCAAAATTTCCATTTGTTTCTTTTTATGATTTCTATATGGTGATATTCTTTACTTAGTGAGATACTACCTTCTGGTTTTAAATTATGGTTTCTAGTGTTTGTAATAGCTCCTTTGAGGTCTGTGTCAATTAAATTTGTGATTGGATTGCACTTACACATCTTCATAGTTTTCTATAATTTTCCTTGCATTTGGGCCAAATTGTCTTATTTTTATATATCTCATTTATAGAAAACTGACATTTTCGATAATATATTACAGCAGTTCAGGGTAGTTGTCTGTCTCATCCTCTTAAGGAGATGGTTAGTTATTATTTGGTCTTTTACTAAAGATGGTAGTTTAGTTTGACTTTCCTCCTTATTTTGAAGCCTCTTGTTCTCTCTGAGGGTACAACCCTGGGCATTCTCACAGTGATTTTGACTTGACTCTGTTTATCTTTTGCCTGATCACAGACAGCTGTTAAGCTTCACTGGTTACAGGCTGATTGCCCTATTGTTTTTAACAATGCTCTGGAGTATAAATAGCCCTACAGAATGATCTAGTTAAATTCAAACTCCTTTGCAAGGACAGTATTTGAGGCTAGTCTTGCATTTTTTTTGACTGAGAGAGGTCTTTTCTTAATCTTCCCTTTCCCTGATCCCTTCTGGTAAACTAGTTGACCTATGAATTAGTTTATATTTATAATGAAACTGTCATCCTGTTGTTAATTGGTTCTCATCCAAATCTTGCTTATTTTGATAGCACCTTAAGCTTAAACTTGTTCACATTCTGTTATATTAGATGTACTGGGGGAGAATTTTATAGCCTGATTCTTCCCTTGGGAGAGCCATGGGTCTGGATTTAGAGCTAGGTTCGGTGATACTCTTCTCCCTCTGAATGATACCCATGCTTCAGTTACTGAGCACTGGATGGAGATTGGTAGGATCTGATCTTCTTTACTTGCCTCCCCTAGTTGGAAACCTCTGGATTATAAAAGTGATATAGAGGAAAGAAACTTCAAAACTACCAGAAGTCTGGTATAAGTTCATGTTTCCTAAAATTGAAGAATAAAATTTAGAAACAATGGAGGTTAAGAACAGAATATATTTATTAAGGGTAGAAAATTTTTGTCTGAGAGACAGAAGGAGGGTCCCACATATGTTGCCAAAGACTCTCTTCTAGGCACTTTTATAAAGTAAAACTACAAAGTGAGGCAGCTCTAAGGTGGAGAAAACATGAACACTCACAAGGTAGGCATGAGGTGGGACAGAACTATGGCCGGCCAATGAGATTAATTACTCAGGTGAAACTGATTAAATCAGGGACAAAAGGGGATGCGATTTATGTAGCAAGTGGGCATGCTCAAAGAGCAGTAACTCTTCCTGTAAGGAGTTGGGTTAGTGACTCCTGATTTCCTCAGGATAATAGAGATCTATTTAGGATATCAGATCCTAATGTTATAGGCAGCTGAGTTAGTTAGAAATATTATAGGCAGTCAGGCAGGCTGGGCCCTCAGAGGAGCCAAAGCAGAAGTTCAGATACCTTGCAGCCTTGGAAGAGACAATCACCTCCTGCTGAGGGCCAGCTCTCAAGACATAAGGCAAAGAAAATGCAACCACATCCTAAGGATGGACAGTCCAAAGAGTTCTCTCCCACCCAGAGGAAGTTAGGCAGTACCCCACCCCACTACAGGAAGAGACACTGCTGTTAAGCATGCCCATTTAGTACATGACTGGCTCTCCAATTTGCTCCTAATTTAATCAATTTGCCTGAGCAATTAATTTTATTGGTTGATTATAATTCTATCCTACTTTATGCTCACCTTGCAAATTCCCATTTTCCCCCACTTTGACCCATCTCATCTCATGATTTTACTCTATAAATGTCCCTAAAAAGACAAAGTCTTTGGCAACCCATTCAGGACCGCTTCTGTCTCTCAGACAGAATCTTTCTTTCTCTCAATAAATATATTCTACTCTTAACCTCCATTGTTCCTAAATTCATTCTTTGGTTTTAGAGAACACGAATTCACACTGGACATATAGTAAGTCAGGAGTTTCATTCCCCTATATTACTAATACTTATCCTTAGGAAGTATGTGGGTACATTTGATATATCTTTTGTCTTGAGGTCTGGCCTATGGTGGAGGTATCTGTCTCCCCTATAGTTTCAAGGTACCTAACATTGGTTCCTTTGAGGGCCCAACCTTGTCTGACTGCCCTATATTTCTATTTAACTCAGTTGCCTGTAACATAAGGATAGCGGCAGAGGTAACTGTTTTCTTGGTATTCCTATCACACTAGTGTTACAGGCAGTTGAGTTAACTAGAAATAATATAGGCAGCGAGACAAGGCTTGGTCCTCAAAAGAGCCAGTACAGAAACCCATATGCTTTGCAACTATGGGAGAGACAGACATCTCCTGCTGTGGGCCAGGCCTCAAGACAAAAGATCTAACAAATGAATCCATATCCCAAGGACTGATATTCTAGTTCCCTATCATGCTGAAGAAGTCAGGAGTCGTCATCCCAGCCCCCTACTGGAAGGGTCACTGCTCTCTAAGAATGCCCACTTTCTGTATGACTCACTCCTCCATTTGTCCGTGATTTAATCAAATTTACCTGAACAATTAATCTTAATGATTAACCATCTGCCCCAACTCCTGCCCATCTGCCTTGTGAGTTCCCAATTTTCCAAACTTAGAACCTGCCTCACCCCATGGTTTTACTCTATAAAAGTCCCTAAAAAGACAGAGTCTTTGGCAACCAACCCACTTGGGACCCCTTCTGCCTCTCTCAGACAGAATCTTTCTTTCTCTCAATAAATATGTTCTGCTCTTAACCTCCACTGTTCCTAAAATTCATTCTTCAATTTTAGAGAATATGAACTTCTACTGGACATAGTATGTCAGGAGTTTCATTCCCCTATATCACTGGGAGTGTCAGCAGAACATCTGCCTCATGAGTACAGGCCGTGTACAGGAGCATGGGGTTGAGAAAATCTCCCTTGGAGGCAATTACTGGGAATTTAGCTGTGCAGCCTGGAACTGCAGCAGGGTGAGATATTTTTGTTCTACTTCTCCTTGACTGGGAATTGGACCCACGGTAAGTCTGGTGTTCTAGTTGTTCCCTCCTGGAGTAGAGCTTCCATCACACTGGCCAAGGAAGCAGAAAGAAGGTAGTGAATTATGGTTTAAGTTATGCAGATTATTGCTACTCTTACCAAATTTTAGGAAATTTTGAATATACCACTTTTTAATGAGCGTTGTATTTTAGGACTATTTTTAGAGACTTTAAATGCCTTTTTAAAATAAAAATGTTCACCAATTGTTTGAGACTGTCTGTAGAATCCTACAGTTCAATACTATATCAAACACCTACATATTTACCAAGAAGCCAAAAAAATAAAACACTGCAACAAAAAGATCCTGAGCTCCTCCAATGATGAGAACAGCTGAGTTCATATCAGGAAGCCAGCATGATAAGCTTCTCCAGGAGAGTGAGTAGCACACATCTTCCCTTCTGAAGCCAGGGAATGATGCTCAAAGTAAGGACTAGAGCATCCCCAAAGTGAACTGCAGCCATTCTCAGTGACAACAAGATCTCAAGCTCCTCTGATGGTAAGAATGACCAAGTTCCTATCAGGAAAGAAGCTTGACAAGCTCCTCCAGGAGAACGAACAGCAATAAGAGAACCAACAATGTTGGACGCAGGTGCTCAACATACCATACCCCACCCGGGACTAAGGACCACGCCAGCTTCCGCAATGCGCTACGTCCCTCTCCAAATTAGCCACCCCGTGCTCACTTCGTATTCACCACAGCTGGGTATATTAGCCAGAGCCCGCGTCTCATTCCAGCCCTTCCTCCTCATGGCGGCCCTCGTGGCAGCCTGATTGGCCACAGTCAGATATATAAGCCAGAACCCGCAACAATAAAGTTGGCAGTTCCTGTTACCACCTGAAGCATCTCCTGTTTCATTGGGGCTGCGCCGGTCACAACAACAACCAGGAGAACCAAAAATACAACTTCTTTCTCTCCAGTTCTCCTTTTTTATCTTGGCAGCAACCCTCAGGTGGGCCATCCACACTTGGCACCATACTGATTCAGATCACCTGGTATTACAAGGTGACCCAGTTATCAATTCACCACAACAGCATGTTTCATACATAGGAGAAATTCATTTCTTGCTGTAAAAACACAAACATAAGGGCATTAGCTGGAAACACTTTTTCATTTGTTACTTAGAATTATCTCATTGTTCTATAAAATATCTCAAGTGGCATAAATTCTACTTTTACTAATGGATAACCACATCTGACTTGTGATATAGTAAAAGAAATACTGATTCTGCTTCTCTAGCGTTATACAGAGTTCTGTTTAATAAGGCCTTAGAGCTGGCATATTTTTAGAGGATTAATGTGTATCACTCTCCATCATTATACAGAAAATTCTTCTTTTCACAAACACATGAGGACTGGTCATAGCAGTGCTAATTTTGCAAAACAGTGGGTAATCAATGTTAGAAATGGAGAACTGCTATATTCATGGGAAATAATATTACTTAAGGAGGAGAGATGAAGACCTGCCAGCATGTGAAAGTTAAAATTCAAAACACTTTGAAGGAACAGAGAAAATGAGGGTATTAGATGAAGCATTTATTGTCAGTCTTTTTGTCATGGATTAGCTTTTTGAAAAGATAGTTAAAAGATAGAGAAGAAAGGATGTCTACAGTATGGGAAAATGTGTTCAGGGAAGGGGATAGAAATTGGTAGCAATTTGTTGAAAGGGGCCTGTGGTAGATTAACACTATCACCAGCAACCCATGCCTTTATATGATACTCTTGTCTGAGTGTGGGTTGGCAATGTCATGTGGTGAAATATCAACTCTGTAGTTATACTGTTATATGAAAAAAGCAAATGGTCATGTAATCTCTCTAAAAGAAAGAAGTTTTCCTGCTGACCTTGGAGAAGCAACTGCCTGGAACATGAGTACTGTGTAGAAGCTGAGGATCTAACTCCTCTAGTCATAAGAAACTGAGTTCTGCTTGTCCTGGCCTGTGGGTAAGTCCACGGAGACCCTAGAGGGGGAGTGGGGATGGAAGGGAACAAGAGATGTGAAGAATGGAGACAAGTCAGAAATCTGATCAAGTCTCATTTATTCAAGGAAAGAGTAACAAATATAATGGGTATTGGGGGAAGAGGGAGTTGGATTCTGAGACATCAGCAGGTAACTTATCAACAGTGGCAAGACTGAGGGATATAGGTTAATCCAAATTTTGAAATTTCCCACGTGTGGGCTGATTAACATAATCCCTGAGTGAGCCAAACAAGCTAGGCGAGGAGCTGCTTAACTACCAAACTTAACTCCTAGAGGGGGTTAAGGTGGTGTGGCCTGCAGATATAACATGGCAGCCAATTACAGGGCTTCCCATACTGCTAATAACCCTGCTACACTCAGAAGAGGACTTTGAGCTCCGGATGAAAATGTGTCCAATACCTTGAGCAATCATGTTGTTACTGTGATGCCAAAGATGGGATGCTGGTCGACTGGAAGAGTCCAGGTTCTTGTGTGTTATGAACAAAGAATTTGTGAAGTTGCACAGATTAAAAAGAAAAAGCAAACGGATTTTATTGGGGTGACAGTACACTCAAAGAGCAGTGGGCTTATATTGGTGAAGGGTGGTGGTAATGGCCCTGGGGTAAGTACGTAGAAGTGCCTTTGATTGATAATCAAGCTCCCAGTCCCTCCCTGAAGGATCTCCTGGGCATGTTTGACAGCTCATTCTGACTCATATTATCCATAATGCATATCCTTTCCCATAATTCACTGTTGAAACTGTATCCACGAGATGTAACCCATATGAAATGATAATGAATTCATTATCTATGAAGTTAATTTTGTACACTTTGAGGTATTTCCTTGCCTCCACCTGTTTTAGGGATTTCTCCAAGATCTTCTTTGATTGTGGCTATTGTTTGGGAGTTAGCAGTTGGGCCCTAGCTAAGATCCATACTCTTAATGGATAATGGGAGATATTTCTTAGCTCATGTTATATAAGAAGGCATGCCCCAGACAGTGCTAACTATTATTATAATACAGACTCTGGTTCAATGATGTCAAACAAGACTCTGACTCTTCACAAGCTGTGAAATAATAAATGGATTGTTTTAAGCTACATCCTTGATAATTGTTACAGCTATCATGAATTAATACAAGTCCTCTTTAAAAATGTTCTGTTTTGGACCTCAAAATGTTCAACCAGTCTTCTAGAGGAAAATACCATAATAACATGGATTATTTTGGTAACTGTATAGCCTATGGGATTATACTATTTTCTTATTATGTCTATTCTATTATTTCTAAAGCATGAGAAAAATCATTTTTGAGCTGGTTTCCAAGATTTTAATTCCATATTTCTTTTTTGTATGCTTTTGCCTAGAGTTACTGAGCAGAAGTTTTCAATATTTTCTATTAAATAACTGCATTTAAAAATGGTAACTTATGGCAAATTGGTTTACCACGGGCTTCCTTCTTCAATTTATTCTTCTTTTATCATCCTCATTCCTATAATTATTTTTGTGGTGGTCTCAATTGTGTTTTTTCACTTGCCCATATTCATTGTTACTGGGGAATACAAAAATAAAACTGTGTTTATAATTTTTGATCAAACAATTCAGACAATTATAAGCTAGATGCTGGAAAGTTTAAATATGAATAGAAATGCTTGGTGTTGATACAGAAAATAAGGAGAATAAAATGCTTTAGAAAAACTATTGCAAACAATTTGCATCACAACCTTTTGTTTTTACATTTAATCTGTGATCATCCACTCAAAACATATTGAGAGACTTACAATTGCCAGGAAGAAATGTTCACTAAGTTTATAATTCATTTTGTGTATGAAAGCAAAATAATTTTTTCACTAAAGAAGTCCAAATTTTTCAAGAGTCAAATTTTCTCATTTTAGAGACATGAACTTCTCAAGATACCAGATTAAACAAAGTCATTGTAATTGATGAAAGTAGTGTATTTAATTAGAATGAGCATATTCTGTTTTGAGAATTTACAATAATGCTGGGAAGGGTAAAATAATCTCTATCTGTTACAAGCTTGCCCATGAGAAAAACTAGCATACAATTTAAATGTTATGTGTACTCTTTCTTTTTTCTTGTTCCATTTCTTGCCAAGAAGTAAAAGTGACAAAATCTTCCACAGCCTAGTGTGTAGTGCAGTGGGTTAGCAGCTATTCTTAAGGTCTTTGTGAGGCGGGATAAATGATTAATAATCGCACCAGATTGTCAGAACAAGAATGTGAGTCACTTAATTAAGGACAAACTGCAGGCTCTTGAGGAATTGGGGAATACATAGCTCTTTCTAAAGCTATAAGCTACAGTTGGATGTATGAAAATATGTGAAGAGGATAAGAAGGCATGATTTACCTTCTGTCATTGTTAGAATCTTGAAAAAATTATTGCCCTGGGTATATGAAATCCTTTCTTTATAAAAATGACAACTCAAGTGACCCTGTTACATGACCTTTGTCACCGAAGGGAAAAAAGATTAGGCATTTCCCAAAGTGTGCTGTGTGATAATACATTACACATTAGTCACAAATTAAGCTGAAACAAAGAGAGCTAATGAGATAGAGCAAAATCTTTTAAAATAGGCCTCCCCCTTAGTGTGGAGATTTTATTCACACATCTCATTCTGTTTCCTTCTTAGTTTGTGGTGCATAAAGAACTGTGCCTCCTGGCAAACATATGAAATAAACAAATTATTTACCCTGTGCTAAATTCAATGCCATGTGCATTTGTGGCGAGTAAAAGTCACAAATTTGCCTATGTGATTAGTTAAAAATAATGCAACTTCCCAGTTAATAATAGCCCAATAGCAGAGTAGACTGTTTAGAAAGTAATAGTATTCTAAAGTGGGTGAAAGAGATAATTATTAGATAAATGTTCAAGCTGGGTTTAGATAGAACTGAAAAATAATAGGAAATGGAAATTATAAATATTTAAGGTGCAGTAGCCTGCTTATTTGACTAATATATATATACACCAAAATCATGAGTGCATTTTCTTCCAAATTTTTATGTCCACTGAGTTGCTGAAGGAATAGCGATGAGTCAAGTTCTAGAGAAGAAGAAAAAAAAGTTTCCCGGATAGTGGAATAAGTTGATACTGTAGTCCTGCCTTATCCACGGAGATAGAATAGATCCTCTGGACCATTATAATTAACCTAGATATGAATAACAAAATAACAATTAGAAAAACCTCTACATCCAAAAAGTTATTTAAAGAACACTTCTAAACAGTTTACTAGTTGAAAATAATACTAGAAAGTAATCAGTATTTAAAGTTGAATGAAAAATGTTTTAAATTGTAAAACAAACTTAGAGGAGAATATGTCCTTAAAAACTTGTAATAAAGAAAGGAGACTTGGGGCTGGAGGTTTAGCTCAGCGGCATAAGCGCCTGCCTTGCAAGCAGGCAGTTGTGAGTTCGATCCCCGGTACTGATAAAAAGGAAAAAGACAAGAGAAAAAAAAAGGAGACTTTGTTTTTTATTATTAAGTAATCACTAGTCACACAGCAGCGGCATACACCTCTGATCCTAGCTACTTGGGTGGGTTAAGCAGGAGAATAATACATTTGAGGCCAGCTTGGGAAACATGAGAAGACTTCATTTCTAAAACAAAATAAAAAAATAGACAACGATGAAATCATTATCCAATTTAAGAAATTACGAAAAAAGAAAATCAAAAAAACAAAAGGAAAAAGGTGGTGGAGAATAAAAGGTAAACAATGCAATGGAAACCAGCACACAGAAGAAAAAGGACAAATGCTGCTTTTTAAAAAAAGACAAAGCAGTCTGGGACACATTTCTAGCAAGCTTTCCAATGATGCCAATACTGTGATAAAAGGACCACACTTTTAGTAGCAAAGTTCCATTCCATAATTTCAAGTTTAGGAAGTAAATCTTGGCTTTATCTTCACTAATTTCCTTTAAGTATTTCCATTCAGTGAAACTATGTTGAATAGTTTTAAAAGACTGCATCTCATTTAATCTCCACAGCATTGAAATCAATAGGTTTGGAGGGTGAGGAAGGTGAGCTGAGCGGGTACAGCAGCGCCCAGATATTCTTCAGGCCTGCTTGCCCTCACGCGACACCCCCTGTACTGCGCTTTCCAAAGGGTTAGGGCACTACACAGGCTCTCTGACAACTTTGATTTAAGTGATTTGTCCTAGAAGATTTTTTTTCTCAATCTTCTTTGAGACATTTTCCTTGTGCACTTGTTTACTTTTAATGTTTTTACTTTCAGATTGAAGTTGAAATTGACCTGGGCCCCTGACAGTTGTTTTGAATGCTGATCTGACATACTGGTGTCTCTCTTCAGTTAACTGGTTGGCATGCAAAGCTCTTATTTATTTTTTGAAAATATGGTACCTTGTAATAGATTCCTAACAAATATTATTATAATAAAAGTTTTAGGGAATCTTCAGTAAAGAAATAGTTTTCACTTTGTTTGAATCTATGTTTTCCCAATCTACCTGGCTAAAAAAAATCTATAGTTTTGGTAAGATACAGTTTTTGCCTTTGGTGAAGATTCTGATTCATTAGATAAATACAAATATTCACTTATTTTCAATTTTCATAAAATACCAAACATTGTACTAAGTATGTTAAAGACATTATCATATTTTACTCTGAAATCTGTCCACTGAGGTCTTATAAGATCTTTACACTGAAATCTGCCTGCTGAAGTTTTTATAAGCTCCAGTTTAATGGGTGGGAGTTCAGGAGAGACTTGGTAGTTAATTTAGGACAGAGCTCCAATTCAAATTAGGGTGCTTAGGCTGGGGATTTAGCTCAATGGCACATGTGCCTGTCTGACAAGCGCAAAGTCATGAGTTCAGTCCCTGTCCCTGGTACCAAAATAACAAAAACAAACAAACAAACAAAAAAGCCAAATTAGGGTGCTTGGTTGAAAACCAGACTTACCAATGTTTTGGAGTGTCTTACTGCTTTCCAGGTACACATTATCCTTTCCTTAAGACAAG